CATAACTTCGGAACCATAAGTCACATAAAATTGAAATTTGGTATGCAAACATATCAATGGTAGGTGTTTATAGTAAGGTTTATATAAATGAGTTTGTAAATGGGAGCGAGGCACATAATATAGGCGTGGAATTTTTTATCAGCCATATTTTCGGAACCACTAGTCACATGACTCCTTTAATTCCTTTTGATATGCATTTCGAATTTAAAAGACCTCAGTTTCCAGATCGCTTAGCTTTTGCAATCACAATAAACAAGAATGCCTCAAAGTAAAACAAGAAACTTTATCGAAAATAAAATGTATGATAATTGTATTGGAAAATGCATTTATGTTAATAGATATTTTGAAGTATTAAAAAAATGCTGTGAAATCATATTAGTTATTATTCGTAAGAAATCAGATAGTATTTCTTCCATTATAATTTATTGGAGATATTTTAACCTATATAAAAACACCTGCAGTGCCAAAAAAATTTCTCCGTTTGGCAACTTTGGTATTTTGCGTTCCGTTTCCTTTCGATCAATCTTCGAAATTTACGATTATACCTATTCTACATTTCGATCGTAGTTCTGTTTTTCTAAGTTGCAAACTTGCTGACGGAGAACGTTTCGATTGTTATTTTCGTGGGTTTAAATAATAAAATTTTATTAAAAAAATTAAGTAAAATATACTGTGCATGATTTTAAAAGCCATCATAAATGAATTTTCTCGATTTCTGTGTTTTCGCGAGCGGTAGTACGGGCAATACGAAAAATTGGCTCAAATAATGGACACCAAAAGGGATATTGCGCGAGGTTTTCAAAGAGGAAGTCCAGGCGTTTTTGTTTTCATTATCTATAAATAAGACTGACATGCACTGAGTACAATTTATTCTTTTTGTATAAAATTTATAGATGTACATATGTACGTACATACATACATACATACATACATAAAATGTGAAGTTACATAAAAAAGATGTTTTTATTATTGCACTCGTTTTTACTAACTTTTTAAAAAGAGGTGTGTATGTTGTCTCGAATTCGTTTTCTATGGAAGGATAAGCTTTGTTCTTCCCCTCCTCCTGACGGCTTTCAAAATGGAATTCATTTGCGTTCAAATCTTCCACTCTGTAATAAATGCAAATGTTGTGGAGTGCTCAAACAACGTTTATTATTTCACTGGATTTGAGCGATGAGTAATAGAGTTCAAGATGAATTTCTTATTACTCTTCATTCATCTGAGAAGGATCAAACATGTCCCGCATCAGCAATCTGGGACTCGTCCTCCTCTTCAAGCAATAACGTCGCAGCTATGGATTTCATTCTTATAATTATGTTTCCACTTAAATTAAGAGCAAACGAAATTTTATTTTTAAATTACAGTGATGCTAGATATATTTAGTTATTTTAAAATATTTACAAACTCCAACTTCATAAGCTGCTTTAGTTTGGTGGCCAATATTTCTTTGTTTTGTTTCGATATCACACATTCCCAGGCGAACATCTGACATCGAAAGATGTTTTCTCTCTTCCTCTTTCGATTCGATCGTAACGCAGAATGCCTAAGTTCGATTTTTGCGGAGCGGAATGCAGAATAGGGCTGATTATTGCATTTCATTCGATAACACCCAAGCTATACAGCTGTCCTACCATATGCTGCTATCACGGCTGTATATTGTCAATTTAATCTAATGCTTTGTATTGCATGCGCCCCACGCTTTTCATTTTCAATCTCATAAATTGTTTATAATAACTTTTGCTAAAATTTCAAAATCAAAAGTTGTGAAAACAGATTCTATGGGACTGAGAATTATTATTTTATACTATTTAGTCCATTTATAAAAGCGTTGTATATTAAAAAGTTTTTTATATTATTT